GAATGGTTCACCCAACGAAGTAAGCGATGTTGTTTTAAACGTGCCCACTTCATGTAACAACTAGAGCAGCGCTTCTCAACTGGGTGAATGGTTCACCCAACGAAGTAAGCGATGTTGTTTTAAACGTGCCCACTTCATGTAACAACTAGAGCAGCGCTTCTCAACTGGGTGAATGGTTCACCCAACGAAGTAAGCGATGTTGTTTTAAACGTGCCCACTTCATGTAACAACTAGAGCAGCGCTTCTCAACTGGGAGAATGGTTCACCCAACGAAGTAAGGGATGTTGTTTTAAACATGCCCACTTCATGTAACAACTAGAGCAGCGCTTCTCAACTGGGTGAATGGTTCACCCAAGGGGTTAATGAGATAAGAATCAGGGTGAGTGAGTATTATCAATTTTACAACAAATTTAAGAGCAAAAAAGTCATTATTATTATTTATTCTAGTTGTAGTTTGATAAATACATTTATTTTGTAAATGATATTGGAAAAGGTTAAGAAACACTGGAACTGTCACATCACAGCAGGTTTATTCTCAATAGATAAAAATCATAAAAATTTCCTTTTCTCTAAAAAAAGTATTTTATATGATCATGTCAAGGAAACTATCAAAACGTTAACTACATTTCACAATTGTTTCAGTTTGGATTCGGCCATTAACTACAACCAAATATCCAATATTCTCAATATGCACGACGTGAAATGTTTTCCCCTAGGACTAGTAGTATTTTTTAAACATGGGGTTATCTTTAATACTCACCTTCGAAAAATAGGAAATTATTTTCAAACGTTTTCTCTCAGTTAGGTGTTTATTCTAGAAATAATGGTGGTAAAGTACACATATTTGTTTTAGAAATACCGGGTCAGGCTTTAAAGTTTTGGAGATATTTAAGGAATAATAAGCGGGAAAATGAATCAGTTTTGAAACCTATTCTCTGTAAGTACATCAAGTAAATATGCCTTAAAACATCTATATTAAGTACTCTTAGTATGTGGTGCGCAGAAGTTTCAATATGAGACTATTCCTAGCGTACTACATTGTTCTCTTGAGGCAGTGAGACTATTCCTAGCGGCACTACATTGTTCTCTTGAGGCAGTGAGACTATTCCTAGCGGCACTACATTGTTCTCTTGAGGCAGTGAGACTATTCCTAGCGGCACTACATTGTTCTCTTGAGGCAGTGAGTATTCCTAGCGGCACTACATTGTTCTCTTGAGGCAGTGAGACTATTCCTAGCGGCACTACATTGTTCACACTTTGTTCTCTTGAAGCACTGAGACCATTCCTAGCGGCACTACATTGTTCTCTTGAGGCAGTGAGACTATTCCTAGCGGCACTACGTTGTTCTCTTGAGCCAGTGAGACCATTCCTAGCGGCACTACATTGTTATCTTGAGCCAGTGAGACCATTCCTAGCGGCACTACATTGTTCACACTTTATTCTCTTGAGCCAGTGAGACCATTCCTAGCGGCACTACAGTGTCACACTTCTTTGTCTTGAGCTAGTGAGACTATTCCTGACAACAATGTATTATC